TGTTTTTTAAGCAAATGACACAGACCCAAATTACCAGCTTTTTTAAACCTAAGCTTAATATTGCATATTTAAACAATTGTCAGAACTGACAAATTTGCCAGCATCCATGCACAACTAGAAAACATCCTTAATTTACACTAAACCAGAAATGTATTACCATTGATGCAGTAATAGCTTTCATTACTAAATACTGAAAATAAAATAAAATTGAAATATTTCTGTGGAAGGTTCATCTGGCAATGTTAACTTCACAGCAGGCTGACACTACTCACTCACATGTCAACACAATGAGAAGGAAGCAAATCCATGCTGGTGTTAAACAACAGTCTTGTCCTAGCACTACTCAAGAGTCACAGGGCTCACCTCAGATTACGTTTTGTTTTCTTTTGTTTAAAGCAAAGTGCATACAGAGATTACAACAATTTTAAAGACAAAAAAAAAAAGGTCCTATTTTGTGGTCCCAACAACAAACTCAAAAGTCTATGACAAATAGGGGCTCCAATGAGCTGTTTTATAAATACTTTAGATTAGGTACAGTTATACAGAAAGTCGAGTTTGTTTGAAATCTTCAAAAAAAAAGTTCCTGTTATTCCTCAACTGGTGCTTGTTATGGTTTACTGTTTCTGTTAAATGCGTACGTTGAATTACTTGTTATCCAAGCGTAGCAGGTGCTCCTTACCATTTATCGTCAAGGACTTTAACTGTCCGTCTTCCTCAACTTCTACTCTTTCCTGACCATTCTCCACAATTCTCTTTGTAGTAATTTTTTTGCCATTAACTGTCTTAGTAGAAGCTGACATTGATTTGAAGTTGCCCATTCAGCTACCGCCAAATGATGCTGAAGAGAAGGAAGTGATACCCCCATCCCCTAGTGAGCCAAACGCAGTGAATCCTGTATCAAAAGCAGGAAATCCACCTCCAAAAGGTGGAAATCCACTGAAGGCAGAGAAAAACGAGCCTGTACCTCGGTTTCTGCTTCCTCGGGGACCCCTTCGGTTCCCAAAGAAGTCATCAAATGAGTCTTCAAAGAGGTCAAATGAAAATGGGTCCTTTCCACCAAAAAATTCCCTGAAGACATCATCTGGATTCCGGAATGTGAAGCCAAACTCAAACGGACTGTCAAAATGACTTCCACCTCCTCCTCCTCCTCCACCATTTAATCCTTCTTTGCCATATTTCTCATAGATGTCCCGCTTTTTTGCATCCGATAACACCTCATATGCCTCAGCTACTTGTTTGAATTTCTGCTCTGCTTCTTCTTTATTTTTAAGATTTTTGTCCGGATGCCATTTTGGTGCCTGTTTCCGATACGCCTTTTTAATGTCCTCAGGTGAGGCATGTCTCTGTACTCCCAGAACTTCATAGTAATCCACCATGTTTTAACAGATTGTTGGAATAAATCCGAGGACGCGGCGGCCGGTGAGGGTGGGGGAAGTCGGGCGGCCGGTCTCCTCATGGCTCTGGCACAGCTGCGCTGGTGGTGGTGGCGGCGTCCCTTCTATGATTTTTTAAAAATATATTTTCTGTGTCTTTGACCTGGGTTTGTTCTCCTTCCTTTATTCCTATTATTTCAAGGTTGGTCTTTTGACAGTATCCCAGATTTTCAGGATGTTTTGTGCCTGGATTTTTTTTAAGATTTAACATTTTCTTTAACTGAGGTATCCACTTCTTCTAATGTCTTGGGATATAATGCTTGAGTATCTCTCTTCAATTTCTTATATTTTGTTGGTGATGGTTGCTTCTGAAGTTTCTGTTTCAATTCCTAAAATTTTCATTTCCAGATTTCCCTCAGTTTCGGTTTTCTTTATTGATTCTACTTTCACTTTCAGGTCTTTAACTGTTTTATTCATTTCTTTCCACTCTTTGTATTTTCATATATTTGTTTAAGGGATTTATTCATTACCCCTTTAAGGATCCCTGTTATAGTCATCAAGGCTATTTTAAGTTCTTTGTATTGTGCTGTGTTACAGCTCTCAGGGTCAGCTCTAGTAGGATAGCTGGGCTCTAGTGAAGACATATTGTCCAGGCTATTATGGATTTTTATGCTGGTGTCTAGGCATCTGGGGTTGGGAAAATTGTAATTCTAAGTGTTGATATCTCATTTTTGTTTTCATTAGGTGTATGTTTTGCTCCTTGGTTTCTGTTGGTTTGCCCTCTCTGGTTTTTAGGAGAGTTTGGTGGCTATGTGTAGTCTGGTAGGGAATTCTTTTTTTTTTTATTTTTTATTTTTCCATCACAGGCAATTTATTTTGTTCTATTCATTCACAGTTAATACAGAAAATACTTGGAAACATTTCCATA